ATCAACAAGATATAAAGTAACATGAATTATAAAAAAAACACATTTGCACACTATGTAAAAAAAATTTTCATACAGTGTTAGAGGAAGAAAAAAAAATTTGAAGTAGCGCTACTATCGAAATGAAGTGTTAGATCTCCATTTTCAAAAATTTTTTGTGATTAAGTTTTTTCAGTCCTTCTTTATAATCACAGTAAATAAAGTTATTCCTCATACTAACACAATTAAAATAAACTTTTCACTTAAGACAAGAAAATCTATAAAAATCATCTTAAAAAAAATTTCAATATAAAGTGTAAAAAAAATTTGACACAATGGTCTTTAATCTGAAGTTTAAGACTTCAGTGTTATTAGGGGAAATTGTTTTGCTGGATTAGGGGCTGTATTCCCCAAAAGGAGGAAAACAGATATATATATATATATTTGAGGAAAAGAGAGACTATAAACTGTAACAAAAAAAAAACTATAATGCTCAAAGAATAAATGTATAAAAAAAATAAAAAAACTACATACATACTGAATTTGATGAGTAATATAAATTTGAACTAAATATTTTAATTGAAGAAAATTTAGAGGTTTTAAGCGAAAACCAAAAATTAAAACTTAACTATTATAGTACATATTAGGATACAATATTTTGTGAAGAAAATTTTTAAAAAAAAGCTATTTTTCAAGAAAAAAATTATTGTGTTCAGAAGCTCTCGGGGGGCCACAGATCAGCAGTCGGCAAACAGCGCAAGGTCCCTCAGCTGCAGGTTGTGCACCCCCAGGTTACTACAAGAATTCAATCAATGAGGTGAGCAAGGGCGGAAATTTAAGAAAAATTTTGTCCCAGGTTTGAAGGACTAGTTACTAAATGATATTACAAGTCTGTACACATTATTACTCATCCGTTTTCATTCCTCAAATAAAATGTCTTTTAGAAAAAGTTTGCACAATGTAAGCAGCCATAATGAAATGTATGCTATTTTGTGACAAAAATATATACAAGGTCCCAGGGAAAAAAAATTCCTCCACACAGAAAATTTTCATGACCTCTTTTTCAAGGCATTTGGCTTTCACTTCTTTTTTTATTTTATAGAAATTATTTAATTGAATACTTCTGGATCTATTTGAAACAATTTTAACACACACATTTGACTAAAGTTCTTACCAAGTATACTGATTTTTAACCCTTTGCCTGCTGCAGGCGTATATATATACAGTACAGAATCCGTTATCCGGAAATCAGAAAACCGGAAAACCAAAAAACCGGAACGGAATTCGATAAATTTTCCAACCATTTTTTTTTAAAAAATGTTTTTTTTCCTCGTAAGATTTTAGGATCTTTCTGTTTTTTTTTTTTGAAAGATGTTCACCTTACCATCATTTTGGAAATAATCATTAGTGTATTACTTCATCGTTTTTTCTTCTTTTTAAGATCATTTCCAAAAAAAATTTTTTTTTTTTTAGTTAGGTTTAACACTAAAAAGACGGCTTTTTGTAGCGATTCAGAAAACCGGAAAAATCAGTTATCCGGAATAGCGATGGTCCCGATCGTTCCGGATAATCGGTTCCCTACTGTACTTCGCTAAGCTGATGTGTTAACTGCTTTTGCGTATATATATGCCTTACCAAAGTACAGATTGCACATACTGTTGTACTAAATATTTTGTTATTTCTTGCTGTTTTTGTAAAGATAAACAGCTTTTAGATTAATAAGCCTGCCTCTTCTTTTGCTTCAAAACTAGGTGCGCCTCTGTAGAAACCAGTGGCACAGGGCAGATGAATCTTGAAATTTTCCTCAGCAGGCAATGGGTTAAGTAGAAGAAATTTTATAAAAAAAAATTTCAGACCTGGAAAATATAAAAAGCTAGAATATGAATATTGACAGACATAAATGAACTAAATTGCTGCATTAATACGCAATTAAGCAAATGCAAAATTTAAGAGCAAACATTTCAATTTAGTTAGAAAATAATTTTTAATAATGTGTGAGTTTCTTTAGTAAGATTTCATTAATTTAGAAGTTACTGAAAACTTTTGGAACTATTTGAAGTAATAATTTTAAAATATGTAGAAACTTCGTTTCATTGACAAATGAAAAATAAAACTGAACTACACTGAAGTTCTTATAAAGTAATTATTAAGTATAGAATAAAGTATTATTAAGTATTTCTTAAAAAAAAAATGGAACAATTTTGAAGATATTTGTTGAGAAGAATCATACGAAAATCGTAAGAAAATCTCAAATAAGAAGCAGCAATTACATACTATTATTTTCTTACTTTTTTTTATTTTTGCCATTCTCTTCTGATAGCAACTAGATTTAAAAAGATTTTCTTTTAATTTCTAAACAAAAATGTACAGTTACATAAAGCATCGAATTAACAGAAATCTCTTCCTTTGATATTTTAAATAAACTATAGAGGAGAAGGTACGGTAGATCCATATCAAAGACACAAATCGCTATAACATGTTTGAAAAGAAGCTTATCCATTTTCAACTTTGAGCTTTCAAATAGAACGAGACAAACGAACCTAGACAAATAATTTAGGAATTACTCACAAAAATAATGAACATGAAATATGAAAATGATTTTAGAAAATTAGGTTATAGTGCATATGCACCATTAACATTTTTCAAATGGGTGAGTTATGCAGAAACTATTTATAACAGTTAAAAAGAGCTTACATAAAAACTTCCTAGATATGAACACACGGAAAAAAAATTATATTCATAATTGTTTGACATTAATAGCCTCACTCCATTTTCTAAACAAAACAAAAACTGCTCAGCACAAATGACAACAGCTATTGCCATCAGAAAAGTAAAACTTTCAGTGCAAAAGAATTTTCACAGTTTCATGTAAAATACCGCGAATATGAACTTCAACTTTTCAAAGAGTTTTTATCGAAATTAATATTCCGCAAACTCTAGCAAACTAAACATTTTTAAGGAGACATTTGTAAAGTTTTCATTCTGTTCCATTAAAGTGATTGATTCCGAACATGATATTTCTATAGTAAATATTAACAAAGAATTAAATTATAAAGGGAAGAGTGAAAAACATGCAAAAATAAAACCCAGTACAGCTAGAAACATTGCTGTGTTAAAAACAAATATTCAACTTCCTCTAGGTAAACTGGGGTATATTGATTTCATGATTTGTACTATGGATATGTATTATGGTAAAATAAATAAATTTTTTATGTTCAGTTTGTAAGTCACAAACGAGGAAATGCTTAATGCACTACATTCCAGGATGGAATAAATGCGATTTCAGGAACTGTAAGCTTCAAAACCTTAATTTAAAGGTTGACAGCGGGCAATATACCCTATGTGTTGCACTGTTGTTCAATTTCCACAGCCTATTATCTGAGGACGTGTAATGCATATAATAGTTTGTATATCCACAAAATTTTAATCTATATGTAAAGCCTATGCATCCTACCCCAAGCTACAAATTTAAAGACAAATTAAGAGTGCGAATAAAAGATCTAAGTCTAATGTCAAAGACTGTGGGGAGACTAGTTATCGACAATGTCAACCTTCATCTATGAAAAGGTACCTCACCATAGAATCCAATAAACATGTCTTATATACTAGGAAATTGGAACTGTATTTTTGTAGTGGTGGATACAATACAAAGACCTCACATATTTAATATTGGTGAAACTCCCATACAATACAGTGGCGTAGCGAGGGGTGGGCAAGGGGGGGCATCATGCCCCGGGCGCTACTCACAAAGGGGCGCCAAATGGTCCGCAAAACAAAAAATTGCTGGANTTGGAACTGTATTTTTGTAGTGGTGGATACAATACAAAGACCCCACATATTTAATATTGGTGAAACTCCCATACAATATGAACCATTGTAATTTGTGGCCATATATTGTACCGTCTATAACGTTGATTAACTTTCATGAATTTTCTTTTCCAAAATCGCTATAAATATATTTATCACAAAATATATTTATAGTTAAATGATAGTTTAAAAAAAATGGCCAAAAGTGCCAAAGTCATTTATTACAATTTTATTTCGTTTTTCTGGAAGCAAATGTTTAAATGTTTGAAGATTTAAACATTAAAACCCTTTAAATCTTTAAGATTAACATTTTTACTGTTTGTCACAAAATTTAAGTAATTAGCGCAAACGGCTCTAGAAAGTCCAAGGCCACATTTTTGATTAATTATTAAGACTTAGTAAATCGCAGAAGTCAAGCATCATTGGCTACGGTCAGCATATGTGACTAAGTGACCATTGTGATTAGTCTGCGAAGGAACGCAGATTGCGCGGAATCAGTCCTTTTTAAAATTATTTTAATGCAAAGTGCTCTAGTTTGTGCGGAGGTCGTTGGGCTATCAAAGCGGGATATCTTTTCCCTCCTCTAATCATCAAAATTGTGATAGGATGTATTTGGATCATCCTCAGGGATGTTTCCCAGTTCGTCGCCAATAGCTCATTGTTAGCGCCAGGGTGACTCAGGGAATAGAGCGTTCGCCTTCCAATGAGGTTAAACAGGTACGAATTCTAGCGATGGCCGGTCGATACGAATTCCGCACCTGGCTTGCATCGACCACAGTGCTGACGTAAAATTATCCTAAGTGTTAGACGGATCATGGGTTTCAGTCCTCTTGGCGTCAGTCTAATCATGCGAGATTTTCGCGAATTTCCTTTCCATGTAGCGCAAATGTCGGTTAGTTAAATAAAAAAGTCCTCTACGAAGGCGAATTTCTACCAATACTTGATCCAGAGTTCCCTTGTCTTCTGGATTGGGTTTAAAATTACAAGGATACGGAATTGAATATTGGTAGTCGCAATCTCTAAATCACCGACGGTTATACAATGAAAAGAAGCCCATTTTTGAGTTGTGGTTGCTCAAAGGTTAGAACGTTTACCTCCCACTGACGTAACCCAGGTTCGAGTCCTAGCGGAGGCTGGTTGGTACGAATTCTGCTTCCGGCTTGCACTGACCACAGTGGTGACGTAAAAAGTCCTCATCGGTAGACAAAACAGGGGTTAGAATCTCTTTGTCATTGGGCTAACCGTGGGAGGTTTATGTTGTTGTTCTTTCTAAGTAACGCAAATGTGGGTTAGTACACGACAAAAAGTTGTCCACGAAGGTTTCGATGCTTTAACCAGGAGCTCCCTTGTTTTCAAAATTTCCAGGTTATAGTCAACTGTTCAAGGCCGATTATAAAATGTGCAGCTCCAGTGGAACGTAAATTAACTATACAGAGTTTTTTAATAACCACATTAGAAATACGTATGCTTAAAATGAATTATTAATAAGATGAAATAGAAAAGGCGTGGTACTAAACCGGTGAAACAAGTCGGAAAATAAATTTCAAAACATGCATCAATGAATAATTTTATTACGCATACATAAAACCAAATAATTATTTACATTTATAATGATATTTTTTTTAATTTAAATCATTGAGTTCACAGGCTAATACTTTTTTTTATCTATAGTGTTTAATGATTTTTCATTGAATGAAATAAATGATATTAAAGATAAAAAAAATAATGTAAAACAAATTTTTTCCCATCGAATTGTGAAATATAATTAAACCTTTTTAGATATCATTTATCCAAACTATCCAGTTCTACTCTCATAAAAATACAAATAAAAATAAAATTCAAATTATAAATATAAAAAAAAGCTATTTTGCATCAGATTTTGAAATATGTTTTTTGTTTATAAATTGTACAAATGTTTCTAAGAACCACAGCATGGTAACAGTGATTTGCAGAAGGCCCATAAATAGGAAGACATAGTCATAGCTTTGGTTGCGATCTCTGAATGCACCTGAAACGGAAAAAAATAAATATATATATATTATATATATCATAAAAAGAAAACTTTGCACAGAGTTAAACGACGTTGAAAAAGTCATAAAGCCTGTGCTTTTGTTTAGCTTTGTCCCAGTAAAGGTGAAAAATAATTATTTTCTCATTCATTTGTATTCACCCCTTCAGGACTAGCAGAATGAAGTGCTTTCATAGGCTCCCCAACGAACACCAAGTTTATACTTACTAAGTAAGAGTACTAAATATACTAATACGTACTATGTGTATACACTGATGGAAAAATAATCACAACACCAAGAGAAAAAAAAAAACATTTTCGTGGTTTTCCTTAGCGTGTAACACAAAATCTGATTATTTTAATTTTAAATAAAAATAAGTTATTTTAATAATTTCCATAAATGTGATTTCACTGATATTGAGAGTTATTTTATCTGAGTTGTGTCAAAAAGTTCCAAAATAAAAAAAAGATCGTTTCATTAGGATGATAGGCTGCTTATCAAGGATGAAAAAGAAATGATTGATAACGAAAAATAATTTTATTGTGATAATGAACAATGGCTAAGGGGATAGAGCGTTCGCCTTCCAATGAGGTGAACCGGGTTCGAATCCCAGCGATGACTGGTCAATGCGAATTCCGCATTCGACTTGCCCCGACTACAGTACTGACGTAAAATAGCCTCAGTGGTAGACGAATCATAGGTCCCTTTGCCGCGAGGCTAACCGTTCTCCCTTGGTATGGCGTCCTCTCAAGCAATTATGCCAGGTTATTTAGATTTTCTAGATTATTACTGAACCATTGAAGAGGAGTAAAGAATTCTATTTACGAATTTTTGACTTAATTATATTCTAAAAACAAGGATTAAGGCCGGGATAGCCTAGTCGGTAGGGGGCTGGACCCGTTCGTGGATCCGAAGACTCCCCGTGTAGTAGATGGTGATTGATGCACGTTAAATCTCTCGAGTCACAAAGTCCTCCATGTTCCCATAACAAATTAAAACCTCTGGGGTTACTGGATTGGAGATTGATCATTCTCTGGTTCAGGTCAAAACTACGATCTGTGGATGTATGAATGGGTCCGTCCTATAAACGTGTGTGACGTATGGGTGAGGCAGAAGTCGAATTCTTGGCCATAGATGGCGCCACTGGAAAACAAGAACAATCACATCCCTCTCCCTAAACAGGCATACGATCAACAACAACAACGGGGATTAAGAAATTAAAGCATATAAAACAGGATTCTTAGTTATGATCAAGCGTTGGTGAATATAAATCTTTTTACCTATGACGAAGGGTCGCAAGAAAGCTGTGATTCCGACGAAGCATGTCGAGAAACCCATGGCTATGGGCAACTTCTGAATTCCCAAGTATTCATTGAGCAGAATAGAATGATTCACGATGATGCTTCCATTCACAATTCCCAAGAGAGTGGAGGCTGCAAGAAGACCTTTAGTGGGACAGAAAGGTAAGAGAGCCATCAGCAGACCCAGGATCATTAAGTAACACCTCACCAGAATGTTCCTTATCACGCATTGAGTGTCAGCGATCCATCCGAATGTTAGGCGACCCGCGAAGTCGCCAATAGAAAAAGCTGAGATGAGAAAGACTCCTTCGTCCGTCGACATCCCTCTGTCTGTCAATAAAAAAAGAGAAATGATCAGTTGCAAAACATGACATTTTTCAGGAAGTGCGCATTTTGAAAATTCCTCTTAACACTGAGCATACCATAATCGGTCAAATGACAGTTTAAGAAATTTTGCATCGAAAATGCGCTGATCGTTTATGCACATTTGAATTCATCACTTTTTCTAAAAATTATATGTATTTTATAATTATTTATTTTGTTTATTTCGAATAATACGTGTCGTATACCTATTTCTACCACAAACGGTCATATGACCGGGAGAACAATTTATTGCTTTATAAGGCTATTGGATCAGAAATAACATTGTAATGCGTGTTCAACGTATTGCATTCGATTAGTTCCACATTTCTGCCAAGACTGTTACGTAGTTAGTTCAATCAGAAAAAATGTTGTAAAACATGCTTGTATATGCTGCAAAAATATGGACAACCAGCGCCATCGGTCATCTCAGATCTGAATAAACAATTAAACATCACAGAGAAGCCAAAATGAAACCATAAACGGGAAAAGAGCGGATTCCACAGTTAAATTGACGGGAAAATGCGGTCCCATGCAAATCTTCCGACTTCCTCCTTGTCTGTGGAAATCGCAGTGAGCGGGTTAAGACTATTAACTGAACATACCTATAACAGCTATAAAATAATTCAAAAATGTCTTAATATATCTTATTTTAGTAGAAAAAAAGTTGGAAAAAGAATAATTTTTTTGAAATGCTGTTTCTAAAACTTGCAGCCGGTTTCTCTAATCACTTAGCCCTGTAATAAATGCCTGACCTTTTGCAAAATCCATCACCACCATGAGAAAAATGGCTGAGGTAGAAAAGTAGACAGAGTAAGCTGATGAGACAAGAATAAAGTAACGATTGCACAGAACTTTCATCGTCATTTTCAATGTTTTCTTTCTGCTGTCTTCTTTCAGATCTAAAAGAGAACATTTCACTTTAAATGGAGGCCACATTATTAGACTCACTATAAGATTCTATGCAAAATTTTAATTTACAGGTGAAACTATGCAGCTTTATTGTTTTTACGCTACTGAAACCTTCTTGTATCAATTGTTTAACATTGTAATGAAATACGTTAAAAATAAATACAAATGGGAAGTACATAAAAAATCTCCTTTATAAAAACTCATTACATGTATGTTTAAATATTGCATGTAAACTCGTGCAAAACATGCAATTATTAAAACACTACAGTACGTCTAATAATTTGATCGCATTATTATAATATACTAACATAATACCTAATATAATAAATATTCTATATTGATATAATACATCGTCTCATGTATCGAATCGTCAAATCTATATTATATATCGTCTAATTTAACCAATTTATACACGAACGTACAAGGTTTCAGTCACATGAAAACAATAAAGCTGTATCGTATCACCTAATAATTAAGATTTTACATGGAATCTTATAGTGCGTCCAATTCAGCCTGGACGCACTAATCAATAATCAGTCTTAATATTTATTCGAATTGTTAATTCAAATGGCATGCCAACCAGTTACATTAAATTTTTTAAGCCCATGCGAAAGATTTTTGCTATTAATATTTATATTTCCTAATATTGAGAACCAGGAGTTGAGGCTTAACTGATCTAAGTCTTAAATGTGTGAACTCAAATATATTATTTATGAAGAGTGCGCAAAAAAAAAAAATTTTATAAAAATTTTATGAATAACTTTTGACCTTATGATCGAATTTTATAAGTTTTAAGATTCAATCTTAATGATTCAAGGGGGTGACTTCGAATAGGCCAATATTTATTAGTACAGACTGTATTTTTAAGTTACGAAATCAAACACAGAAATACTTTCTCTGAATAAACATACCTTTTTATTTAGAAAGATTCAGATTTTTGGCTTTGAAATACAGGGGATAGCCTCAATCTGGGAAATACAATATATTGAATTTTAAAAATATGACTTTTTTAAAATTTAATTTCTCATATACTCTTCGACCTGCTTAAATTTTATATTTTGTCATGTAAAATTATGCTCTTTAATATGATGTCAAAAAGTGTATACTTAAAAAAACTTTTTTTGACTCTTATTAAATAACGTAATAAAAAATATTTATTTACTGAAACTTATATTTTGCATGGAATTCTATTTGGATAAACGAATTTTTTAATTGTGTGCGAACATTTTTCCCTTAAGAAGTTCTCGAGATACCCCAAAAAATAAAACTAACTTTAAGAGGTCCAAACTTTGGACCGCTCTTCTGTCCAAACTAATGGGACCCTATTTTCCAGATTGCGGCTGGTCCCTAAATTTTTGGAAATATGAATCCCTCGTAAAAATATATGTTTATTCAGAAAAAGTACGTTTTTGTGCTTGATTTCGTGACTTACAATAGCGTCAGCACTAATTAATTAGCATATTTGAGGTCACCCCCTTTTCTTATTTTACTTTATAACCGTCGTTGAACAGCCTACCCAATTTTCGGGTTTACGACTACCAATGTTTAACTCCGTAGCCTTGTCATTTTGTACCCAGTCCAGAAGAACTCCTGGATCAAGTATTGGGAGAAATTTTACCTTCATGGAGGACTTTTTGACGGAACTAAACAGCGATCGCATTTGGAGAGGAAAACCATGAAACCCTCCCACGGATAACCCGACGGCAAGGGGACTCTAACCCATGATATGTCTGCCACTGAGGATATTTTATACCAGCACTGTGGTCCGTGCGAATTCGTATCGACGAGCCACTGCCGGGATTTGAACCCGGTTCACTTCATTTGAAGGCGAACACTCTATTCCCTGAGCCACCACGGCTAGAGATCATCCCCTTGAACTAATCTGGGTCTCGTTTAGCGTCCCTATAACCTGGCGGGCGATGTCTCGTTCCTGAGTTCAGCGCCCCACCTAACCAGCATTGTTTTTGAAAAGAAGAAGTAAACTTACTTTGTTGTTCCAAAATCTTTTTATTGTTCTTCTGAGGCGATTTGAAGAGTAAAGCACCGATAAGAGAGTTGGACATGATGCCACCCAGAAGTAAGAAAGTTCCCCGTAAATCGAATTTTTCCAACAAGAGGTTGGTGAGAGGAGGAAAAACAAATGAACCGAGTGAAGATCCAGAATAGGCGATACCTAATGCGCATGCTCGGTATTTGGTGAAGTTTTGGTTGAGTACAACATGAGTGAGAGGAACTATGAGGCCCATTCCAATGCCTGCAAATGAACACATTTTTGTGTAAGCAATTCACCTGTTTTAATATTAAATCACAGAAGCTTAGGTAAACTAAATTAATAAATGCGAATAAATAACTGAAGGTTCCCTACTAATTAATCATCATTTGTTAGCTTTTTGATGTTTTTTCATGGAAACAAAAATAAATTAGGGATAAGCCTGATCTTCAAATATTTTCCCGGTAAATGGTTTGAAAATCTTAAATTTACAGTAAAACGCAAATGTTTTCGTTCTAAACATAAAATAAAGTTGAAACGATTTTATTTCTTTGCAGCAAATGGCGAAGTATTCCCTACTTCCAAAAAATTAATTTTAGTTATCTCACCAATAGGTAATATAAATGAACTAGGTTTATTTTCCAAAATGCTTAGAAACAATTTTACTTGGGCACTTCATGGAAGATAGCACTAATTATATCACACTTTATTTTTATCCAATTTTGGGTCGATCCAATTTTGGGTTTACCACTATTAATGTTCAACTCCGTCACCTTGTCTGAACCCATCCAGAAGACAAGGAAACTCCTCGATCAGTACCCCCAGAGGTATGATTTGTTATGGGAACCTGGAGGACTTCGTGACTCGGCAGATCTAACGTGCATCAGTCACCATTTACTACACGAGGAGTCTTGGGCCGGCGTGGATCGAACCCACAAACTCTTGGACATGGGCCCTGTGACCAGGCTATCCCGGCCTAATTATAACACATTGTACGAGAACAGTCGGGATCCATCTTGTTACATTCCAAATTTTTTTTATATTTTCTTTTTATGTTCTTAGAGACAATGTTTACAAATTAACAGCATTGGTAACATTTCATTTTAATGCTGCGCCCAACATTTTCACCTGTTAACACCGAAATTTTATTTGGGAATCCTCTTCTTACACTATTTTATTTTATTTTATAACCATCATTGAACAGTCGACCCAATTTTGGGTTTACGACTACCAATGTTTAACTTCATAACCCTATAATTTTGAACCCAATCCAGAAGACAAGGGAACTCCTGTATCAAGTATTGGGAGAAATTTGCCTACGTGGAGGACTGTTTCCTTGGAACTTACCCTCATTTGCGTTACATGAAGAAGAAAACCATAAAAAACTCGAAAGGCTAGTCTGACGGCGAGGGAATTCTAATCCATAATCCGTCTATCGCTGAGGATAATTAACTTCAGATATTTAAGCTTGTAGTAAATAATAGATCTATCATTATCTTAAGAATATTGTTGTGGGGTAATAAAAACAAATTCTTTGCTGTAAAACATTTGAGTCTCCAGCACTCTTACTAATCCATTTACCTGAAAAATATATCGGTTAACTGTTTTTAAATAATAATCACATGTCTCTAAAGCCGTTATACTTAGCTAATTAACGAGTTAATTAGAGCTGAATAAAGAGTTTTTTGAAGTTTACTTACTTTTCTTACCGTATTGTTAAAAATCCATATTTTTTTCCCATTCTATCGAGTAACTTGCAGATTGTATTTATTGAGTTGATTCTTTAAATGCTGAAGAAAAATAAATGGTTGACATTCACATGATATTGTTAACCGCTTTCTTAGATAGTTTTTTAAAGTAATGGATTCCACTTTTGATAACGAAAAATAAATGTTGATTTAAGCGTTGTTCCAAAAGAGATCTTATTTTTCTGGTGGATCATTTGAGAAATGAAATAATTTTAACGGATCACCAAAGTGAATCTGTAGGAAACCCACTGTCACTCGATATTTATATTATTTATTTAGTTTTTTATATTTATAAAAATGAATCGTCATAAATGAGACAGAACAACAAATTATGACCCATCATTGTTGAGATCGATAAAAACAAAGGAGGGATCACCTGAAACTAATTTATCTGAGGATGAAGCTTAGATAACGAAATTTAGGAATGTTCAGCTAACAAATAAAATGGTTTTTTGGCGATTTTAATACCTCACTTGCACTTCTCACTCCGTTAATTCGATCCCCGTGATTTCTTACAAACCATGTATTACATTAAGAGATAATATACCTTGTAAAGCTCCATAGAGAAATAAAATTTGAGGCATTTCAGTGGCTAAGCTGCAAATACTGACAGATGAAGAAGCCAGAATTGCTCCAATCACAGCTAGGCTTCGTATGCTGAGGAGGCGACTCAGGAAACCAGACAACGCCCCTGAAACATTTTAATTTGTTAATAACTTTTAAAGACTATTTCTTTTTAAGGTAATTTTTTTTAAACTAAGGGCATTTCAATTAGTTAATAAATAGTAGGGTAAACTAACCAGTGAAGGAATACTTAAGCTTCGCTTGTCTTTCAAAAAATCATATTAATTTCAAAATTCGTAATTTTAGTTAAATGACAGTGTCAACATATTTGCTACTAAATGCAAATTATGTAAAAAAAATTGTAGAGAACTTACATAATAGTGTTTTAAAGTTTTGGAGGTTCAAATAACAAGTAGTAAGAAGACCAAGTGAAGGAACAGCTCTTACCAGTGAATGAACACCCAGTAAAGGAACACTTAATTTTGGTTATTTTTTAATGCTCTTTATGAATTTATAAGCCATACAAATATTTGAAAACAAGCCTATTCTTGAAATTATAGCATATAAATACTTGGAAAATGTTAACTTTTTTTTTGTAATCATGAATTGAAAATTAAAGTGTCAACATATTAACACATACTGTTCATTCACTGGGAAATCTATGCCCA